AAGAGACATTTTTCCAAGGAAGATACAGAGATGACCAACAGGCACATGAAAAGATGTTCAACATCCTTAATTATTAGGAAAATGCAAATCAAAACTACAATTAGACATCACCTTACACCTGTCAGAATGGCTATAATTACCAAGATAAAAAATAACAAATGCTGGAGAGGATGTAGAGAAAAGGGAACCCTCATACACTGCTGGTGCAAACTGGTGTAGCCACTAGAGAAAACAGTATGGAGATTTCCCAAAAAATCTAAAAATAGAAATTTTGAGACATCTCCACCTATAAAATGCAGCTATCCCACTACTGGGTCTTTATCCAAAGAACTTGAAATCAACAATTCAAAGAGCCTTATGCACTCCTATGCCCTATGTTCATTGCAGCATTATTCACAATAGCCAAGATGTGGAAGCAACACAAGTGCCCATCGACTGATGATTAGATAAAGAGATGTATACATATACAATGGAATACTACTCAGCCATAAAAAAAGACAAAATAGTCCCATTTGCAACAACATGGATGGATCTTGAGCATACTATGCTAAGCAAAATAAGCCAGACAGAGAAATACAAATGCCACATGATTTCACTCATATGTGGAAGATAAACAAACATATGAATAGGGAAAACAGATTAGTGGTTGTCAGAGGGTAAGGGGGTCAGTGGGTGGGCAAAAGGGGTAACAGGGTACATATATATGGTGATGCATAAAATTTAGAATATTAGTGGTGAACACGATGTAGTCTATACAGAAACTGAGTAATAATGTACACCTGAAATTACACAATGTTATAAATCATTATGACCTCAATAAAATAATTGAAAGAAAACGTTATATTTATATTAACATTATGATTTATTAGTTTTAAATTAATAAATATTTTAAGGCTCAAAAAAAGAGAAGGGGCAAAGGACTTGCATAGACGTGTCTTGAAAGACATAGAAATGGCCAACAAGTATATAAAAATATGCTCAACATCACTACCATCAGGGAAATGCAATTCTAACCACAATAATATATCACCTCACTCCTGTTTGGATAGCTATTATCAAAGAAACAAAAGATAATAAGTATTGACAAGGATGTGGAGAAACTAGAACCATAGTACTCTGTTGGGAATTAAAATGGTGCAGCCACTATAAAAAACAGTACGGAGGTTACTCATAAACTTAAAAGTAGAACTGCTGTATGATCCAGCAATCACACTTCTGGGTATATATACAAAATAACTGAAATCAGGATCTTGAAGAGATATTTTTACTCTCATGTTTATTGCAGCATTATTCCCAACAGTCAAGATATGGAAACAACTTAAATGTGTCTGTCAATGAATGAATGGATAAAGAAAACGTGGTATAGATATATAATGGAATACTATTCAGTCCTAAAAAGGAAGGAAATTCTGCCATATGAGACAACATAGATGAATCTGGAGAACGTTATGCTGAGTGAAATAAGTCAGTCACAGAAGGATAATATTGCATGATTCTGCTTATGTGAAGTATCTAAACTAGTCAAACTCAGATATAGAGAGTAGAATGGTGATTCCCAGAGGCTGGAGGGAGGGAGAAATGGGGAGTTGCTGTTCAATAGGCATAAAGTTCCATTTATACAAGACATGAATAAATTCTAGAGATCTGCTGTACAACATTGAGCCTACAGTCAACATTACTATATTGTGCACTTAATTTGTCAAGAGCATAGCTCATGGTGAGTGGTTTTATCACTTACAAAAAAAACAGGGCTGACGCCTTCCCCTGAGAGTGAAGCAATTCCACCTCAGTTTCCACCCATGTATGTGAGGTTCCATCCTTCTCCTTATCTTCCTGCCTATATATGACAACTTTGGTTTATGCCCGTGTGTTCAAGCCTACCTGTGATCTTCCATTCCTGATTGCCTGCCCTACGAATTTTGGAGTTGCTTTGCCAGGCTTCATAATCACAGAAGCCAATTCCTTGTAATAAATCTCTTAATAATAATACATCTCCTATTGGTTATGCTTCTCTGGTTGAACTCTGACTGATATAAGAAGTTATAGTTAGATTTTTTTTTTCCTTTTTCTCCCCAAAGCCCCCCGGTACATAGTTGTGTATTCTTCGTTGTGGGTTCTTCTAGTTGTGGCATGTGGGACGCTGCCTCAACGTGGTCTGATGAGCAGTGCCATGTCCGCGCCCAGGATTCGAACCAACGAAACACTGGGCCGCCTGCAGCGGAGCGCGCGAACTTAACCACTCGGCCACGGGGCCAGCCCCAAGAAGTTATAGTTAGATTTTATATTATTCACCTGGAGAGTTACTTACAATAAATTAAGTTTTAAAAAAGCAAGTTACGGAGTAATATGTATAGCATAATAAAATTTTTGTAAATAAAAATAAAAAAGTCTAGAGGCCAGTCCTGTGGCCAAGTGGTTAAGTTCACATGCCCTGCTTTGGCGGCCCAGGGTTTCACCAGTTCGGATCCTGGGCACAGACAAGGCACCGCTCATCAAGCCGTGCTGAGGCGGCGTCCCACACAGCACATCTAGAAGGACCTACAACTAGAATATACAACTAGGTACTGGGGGGCTTTTGGGAGAAGAAGAAAAAAAAAAGACTGGCAACAGATGTTACCTCAGGGCCAATCTTTAAAAAAATTAAAAAGTCTTATGTGTATATATGTTTATATGAGCATAAGATAAGTACAAAAAGAGGCACACCAAATTAATACTGATTATCTCACACAGCATAGGAGTGACAGAGAAGGGAAAAGAATGCTAAACTTCCTTTATTACATCTCCATATGTGTTTAAACAGCTATTATGGCCAGGTACTTACTTTACTTTAAAAGTACTTACTTTTAAAGTACTTTAAAAGGTTCTTACTTTACTTAAAACGTAAAGATAAAAACCATAAAAATTATGGTAAGTCCATGACAGCATAAAAAATAATTAAAAATATTAAATGTTTTAGGGAAATGCTAATGATATAATTTTAAGTGAAAAATGAGGATATAAAATTATGTCTATCCATCATGGGGAGGCATGAGTAGAGGGGGAGACAGAAAGAAAGATTCAGCCACCCTAGGTTTTTTTACTTAGATAGGAAAAAAAGATGGGAAGGAAATATTCCAAAATGTTTAGAAAACTTATCTCTGGATAGTGTGTTCATACGTGATTTTTATTTTTTTCTTGTATTTTTCTGGGGTTTTTTCCTCCAAAATTGCCTACAATGAAAGTGACTTACTGTTATAATCAGGCCAAAAAAATCTTAATATTTTTAAAAAGATGAACACAGGCCTATCAGGAAGCAATTTATGGCAGCTTTTCTATTAGAAGCAGATTCTTAACACTTACAGGTTATTAGGGCATTGTATACGAGACATCATGTTGGAACCAGAGGAAATGGTGGGATTTTTTAGTTGATCTAGGGTCTGCAGAAAGCACACTAAGATAATTCCTGTAATACTTCTAACAACCTAGGCAGTGTCAGAGGCTGCTGCTGCCTATCACTGGAAGAAGCAGCCAGCAGCATTTCTGTACCACTCCACATCATGTCCCAATGCAGTGTTCATATGTTAGAAGCAGTCTGACTCCAATGGGACTCAAAGCGAATTATCAATGTGCACTCTACCCAAAACCTGAGGAGAAGACTAGGATTAGACTAAGCAGTGTCTTTCTGATTATCCTTCCTTGCCTCTGGACCATTAATCAATCCTCAACACTGAACAATAGGAGAATTCATTTGCACCAGGACTCAATGGGTAGACCCATTTTTCTAGAGGTAGTTTCTACCAACTTGAACATACAGGTGTTTTAAGGTACAATTCCACTCCCATTCAGTGTGGGGCAAAAAACAGGAACTGTGTGCCTTCTCAGGGAATTACAAAACCTGGCTGTTTTGGTATTTTTATGCCAGAAAGGCAGAACGATGAGCAAGAGACTAGAGAGTACTTTGTAAACCACTAACCTACAGCCAATGGCCCCTAAATCCCACAGTTGGGAAGTAGCATGAAAAATATCTCTATGAGCCAACTCTTCTGGAAAAGATGAACAATCTGTTTCAAGCCAAAGAGTAGAGTTTAGTGTGATTCTAAATCATGGAAGTGGTCATGGTTTTACACCCTGTTGTATTTTCTATAATTTACTTTAAAATACTTTCATACAGAGTGTGAGATATATACATGCACATTAATTTTAATCTATACTCTGTAGGCATTTAGTTAACATCTGAAGTGCCCTAATCAGGAATACACATTCAAGAGGAAATTTGTTAACATATTAGATACTCAGCAGTCTTTGCTGGAAAGACCATTACTACCAGCAGTTCAGTCACCTTAATGTAGGAGGACTAATTAACTTAACACTTGTTAAAAATGAATTTTCATTCGTAAAATGGATGTTATTCAAGATGTACACTGGCTACAAATGTCTTACAGGCACTTTAGCCCTCACAAAATCTAAGTATAAGAATCCAGTGAGCCCTTTGGCCTATACCCTTCAGAAGGAAGCTTGAAGCTTAAGATTGAAAATAGGTGCTACATCTTGGCCCTCATCAGAGGATTCTGTCACCAGACTCTGACTAGAAAGTTAGCTGAATCCTGTTGCTATAATACTACCAAATCTGTCTTGACTAACATTTTCACAGAAGATGCTGTCACGTATCTAAGAACAGAGCTGGAATTTCGTAGAGATTACAAAACAGGTTGTATGACTGCTTTTGTATTTGTTTGCTAATAAATGTTTGCATGTTTGGGAGAATCGAGCCTGAGGTTTGCTTTCAGTGTAATAATCTTATCCAGTAATGAGACTGTAGTGGAGGTTAAATAGTCATTTAACCCTGACTATTGGAAACTGCTGGTATCTACCAAAAAGAATCTAATAATATGGAACCATCAATGTGGATTAGGTCAGTTTGCAACAGAAATCTTCCCTCTGCCTCCAGAAAAATGAAAACTAATTCAAATCCTTTATGTTCTTCATAGCCATATTCTTCTTTCTCCTCTCAGGTCACTTACCGATTTTTTCATCTTCCTGTACCATTTTCCTCTCTTCTCTGAAAGCCCTGAGCCAGCGTATCTTTTCCTCCAGCTTCTTGGCAAAGAATAGATGTATCTCCTCAGTCTCCTTGTTGTGAAGCTTGAAGGCATTCTTCATGCTGACATTAAAGTCATCATCTCTGCCATCTTCAATGTCAACTACCTCATATTTATCCATGTCAATGCGGCCTTTGTAGTACAGGATGTCTCTCCGGATCAGGTCCTAGGTGGGAAGGAAGAGAAGCCTTTTTGTTGGAGTTATGTGGAGAGTGGGTACCAGGAGAGTTGGCAAATGGGAATGGAGCAGGACTATAACACTGCCATTGTTTTGGAGTACTAAAGGGGGTTGGTTTGTTCTAAATTTGGGCAGGTTAGCTTAGCAGTATGACATTGACAGGTTGGTTAACTAGATGCTCTTAGAGAAAGCTTCTGTCCTACATCCAAAGACTCTGTCTCAGACCTCAGCATCAATCAATGTGTTTACAAGACTGTCGATGGGAAGTAGGAAGCAGTAAGCCACACAAGCACTGCTAGCAAGGGCTTTTCCTCTTCCAAAATACTTACAAGCCTTCCAGAAGTATGAAATTAGCTGGCTGGTTGCCTGGAGTGTACTCAGGAATCCAAGCAGGCCAGTGAGACCTGCATATCAGAGGGGGAATAAGTGGTAAGAGTAGCTAGGTAGCCACAGGATGCTGGCCAGGAAGGATTACCTGGGGAGGGTTGAACACAGCACTCTGGGGATTTTTGGAGAAGGCCTAGTCTGGAAGGATAAATGGGGGTAAAAGTGGATAAAGAGCTTCATTATTGGCCCGGATTAATTTCACAAATCTTATTGTGCGAGAAAAATAAAAGTTGTAGATGGATATAAAGAGTCTATTGCCTATCTGTTGTTATCATTGTTTTGCTCTCAGGTACACAGAATTGAATTAATCCTAACCCTCCGTCCATGAGACACTCATGATGAGTCCATTCATGGTGCTCTTATTTCTCTATTTACTTACTTACTTTTAATAATGTATTGTTTTGGTGAACCTGCCACCCAATCCAAAAGCTACAACACCAAGGCAACCTCCATCTTAAACTCATGCTCATCATTCCCCTAGTTTCCGTTCTATATAGTTTTATCTCATCCATATCTATTCCACTCATATAAGGTTTAAAAACATACAAAACAATGCCACATACGTTTAGGGATACATACATACTTAAAAAATTTATTAAAAAAATATACGAACATGATACATGCCAAATTCAAGAGAGTAGAGAGAGGAGAATAGGGAGAGGTGAGGAAGGAAGGGAAAGGAAGGGAAGGAGCTGAGACAGAGAGAAGGAAGACGTATGTGTAATGAATTATTTCTTAAGTTGGATACTAAGTGCATGAGTGCTCATTATATTATTTTTGTATCTGTTTTGAATATCAAATATTTTGTAAGTTATACAAAGAAGAACAGAGAGGTGGATGAAATGACCTGTGCGATGTAAGGTCTGATATGTAACTGTCTCTTGGAGTAGTCTTTTAGCATCTCCTCCTCTCAGCATTGCCCTCAGCTTCCCCAGAGAGCACACCTACTTCTGGGACATGTAGTATGGCTGAGTCTGGCAAAGAAGGGCCCCAGCGAGCCCTGTCCTGACAGATGTCCACTACCAGTAGCAGGGGTCCTTTCTGGCCAACTCTCCTTCCTCTCTGCTTGTATTTGGACTTTCAGACAATCTGACAGAGTCAGAAATGCTCATTAACTTTTATTAACATTATATGGTTTAAACTATTCCCATTCTACTGAATTGCCTCACATGCCTCACTTCTTAGCTGCAGGCTACCTGCCAAGGATTTGCCTTTGGCCATCCACATTCCCAATCCTAACTCCACACTGCATGGTAAACTGGGCTTTTCAGTAGGTCTAGGAAAGGCTATCTTTAAGAATTCCCAATATCGCTCTGTCAATTTCAAAGCCCCAGGCAAGGAAATACAGGTGTTGTTGAATTACTTTGCAAAAAATATCCATCACTGTGTTCTTTTTCCTCCCACAATGATTGTGCATACAAATAAGCTGTGAGTACAGATGGGTTCTGATCTGTTGGGTGCTCCTGGAATCAAGTTCACAAGAGAGGAAGAGGTCAGCTGTACAGAGTGGGCCCATGACGCTCCAAGCCTATTTCAGAGCCTGGGTTCCTTTCACCATGCTCAAAGTGGACAAGCTCAGTCCTGGCCAAAAGGATGGGGTGGCTCCAATGCACTGACTTCCATAAGCCTCAGGAACACTTTGAGAGACACATGCATAGAAAGTGGGCCCTGTCCTTGTCAGCCTAATCTCACTACAAAAGCAGGACAAGCTGAGGAGAATGGATCAATGTAATCTAATTTGATCTCATAAAGGCTGGAAATCTGCCTAACAATACATAGTACAAATACACATAGACCTGGGAAGCCAGGTCTGGACCACACAGCTAATAGGTGGTTGCCCACTTAGCTAGAACAAAGTCAACCTCAATCTCCTATTCCTAACTTCAGCCTACAGCATCTTTTCCCTCTAAGTTGGTGTGTCACAATCACTGCCAGCTTTCAAAACCTAGTAAACTAGTGAGTTTCCAAAAATGGGAAGGATGTGTGAGATCTTGGAGCAAAACTAAAAGCATCAACTGAATCTCCTATTGTTTCTTTAGGTATTTAAGGATAACAAGGAACTAGAGAGAATTCTGCCTCTGTGGCAGGGGAACAGGGCTAGAAAGATGTGGCATTAAAATTCTCCCTTTGCCTGTTCTTTCTGGCTCCCCAGAGGGTTGAATGTGAGTTTTCAAGCATCAGATTAGTCATAAAGCCAAGTGTAGGGATGTGATAGGAATGATTAAGAATGACCTGCCATTTAGAAAATCCAATTGGAAAGGGTAGCTAAGGCCACGAAGCAGCATAGAACGGTGGAAAGAGTATGAGTTAGAGTCCAAAGCCCTGAGTTTGAGTGATAGCTGCTTAACCTACTAGCTGTGTGGTCTTAGGCAAGTCACCTAGGCAAGTGAGCCTCAATTTCCTCAACTATGAAACTAGGGAAAGTCATCATTACCTTGTAAAATGGTTGTAAAATTCAAATCTAAACACATGGTTTCCAGGTCATGAGGCCAGCCTTGTCTGATAAATATTGTCCTGAGCTTTCTTGCTCCTAGACCAGTGTTTCGTAGCCCTTTAAAAGTCCTTTTGAAAAACATAAAAATCTCACCGCCTCCTTTAGTTGATTTAAACTTTCAAAATAAGTTAAATATTGTAACTAAAAATAAATCAAAGCAAAGGTCACTCTGAATATTTTAAAATTTATATAGCTACCCCACTGTCCCTGGAAATTCCACACACACTTTCAGTGGTGCCACCCACTCTCCAAAATCACAGATTTGTACTTGGGCTCACACTAGTATCTCCTCCCTGCCCCAATGACACCTCCTATTCCAATCCTTCCAGCCTTCAAGGTCAAATTCACACATTCTTCCTCCCCAAAGAAGCCTTCTCTTGCTGCAGCCTCCGGCTTAAGTCACGGTGGTTTCCCTTTTCTGAATGCTAGCACCGACCACGAAGACCCTTACACAATTGGCACTCAGCTACCACACTGCTGAGTTGTTTAGTTTTGTTTCACAGCTTTTAGTTTCGTTTGCCCATTTAGGCTGTGCCCAGCACTGCACCTTCCTTGGTCTTGCCTTACTCGGGGATTGTCCAGGGAAGGACAGCTGACAAAGCCTCAGAGGTTTCTCTGCTCAGCTTCTGCACATGGCAAGGGGACTCAGCCCTCCTGAACCATTGTTGCCTACATGCTACTTGTTAATGGTGGTCTGAGTACTTTCACAGGGACATCATGAATCAGTGTTCACCACAGATGCTATTTGGGTCATCACAAGTTCCCTGCCTAAGTGGCGTTGTTTCTAACAGGATGTTAGCCTTCCTCTTTTTCCCTTCCACTCATCCGAGTTGAATGATATTAAGGGAGCTAGTGCTTCTCCAGGAGGGCCCTGGAAGTCTGCAGACAAGCACCCAGGCCCTAGTCCTAGCCATGGCTCCAGCAAGGAGCCTACTGCCGTCCCTAACATTACATAACTGAAACAGCTGAGAGCTGTTTGGGATTTGGCTTCCCTGGGTATTCATGGGGTTTAGTAAGACACTGCAGTACATTTTGTACAAATAACAGATGCTGCAATCTGGGGAATGCAGCCTGCCTCACTTGCTTGTCAGTAAGGTCCTCCCTACTTCTTTAGAATGGGTCCTGGTTGCTCCCCGCTAACCTGGACCGCCCTAGTTTTCTCTTCAGATCCTCAGGAAGGCACATGGGGCTGGGCTGGATTTATCTTTTTCATTATTGTATTCCAGAATTAGAGTATATACTTAATAACAAAATAATAACAACAACAATTGCAACAGTGAACACTTAAACAGCACATATTAGGCACCAGACACTATTCTAGATGCTTTGCCTTTTTCCCCAGCTTTACTGAGGTAAAATTGACAAAAAAAGATTGTATATATATTTAAGATATACAATGTGATGTTTTGGTATATGTATACCTTGTAAAATGATCACCACAATAAGCTAATTAACATATCCATCACCTCACATAGTTACCTTTTTTTGGGGTTTAGTACACTTAAGATCTACTTTCTTAGAAAATTCCAAGTATACAATATAGTGTTGCTAACTATAGTCACCATGCTGTGCATTAGCTCTCCAGAACTTATTCATCCTGCATAACTGAAAGTTTTTACCCTTCGATTAACACCTCCTCATTTACCCAACTCCCACCAGCCCCTGGCAACCACCATTCTGCTCTGTATCTTTAGGAGTTCAACTGTTTTAGATTCCACATATAAGTGAGATCATATGGTATTTGTCTTTCTTTGTCTATTTTATTTTACTTAGCAAATGTCCTCCAGGTTCATCCATGTTGTTGCAAATGGTGGGATTTCCTTCTTTTTTAAGGCTGAATAATAGTCCTGTGTGTGTGTGTGTGTGTGTGTGTGTGTGTATACATATATCACGTTTTTTAATGCATTCATCCCTTGACAGCTAAATACTTGGTATTTACTAACTTAAATAATCCTCACAACAATACTACAAGGTAGGTACTGTTATAACCCAATTTTATGAGGAACTGTAGACATAAAGCAGTTAAGAAACTTGCCCAGAAATAAAAGCTACTAACTGACAGAGCTGGGCTTTGAGTCCAGGCTATCTGGCTCTAAAATCTGTGCTT